TATATATATATATATATATATATATATATATATATATATATATGAAAAACACTGTCCTGATTCAAATTGTTCTTTGACACTCTCAAATGGCAAAAGACTGTTCTCAGAGAATTGTGTAAGTATTGTTACATATTTCTGTTGAGACCTAGTGCTGGGTGAAAACTCACCTTTGCTTACTCATCACACAATGTCTAGAATTATACTTAAAAATGGGAGTCCTTACACAGTGTAAATAAGCAAATCTATACCATATAGCATTAAATTATGGACAGACAAATGTTAGAGATAAATAAATGGAGATATAAAAGGCAGGCAGATGGATGGTAGATTGCAGGTTAAGGATGGATGGAAACACATGCATGGATGCATTTCTGCATTTAGGCTAAGGCATTTATCTTTAAACGAGGGAGAATTAAAGCTAAGATTGATTTTAAAATATAATATTCAGTGTTGATATAGAAGAAGGCATTCCTGAAATGAGTCATCACTGAGATAAGGGTTACTTTGCAGAACCTGACTACCAAACATACTACTGAAAATATTATCTTAGCCAATCTGAGATGTTTTCTCTGTAGCATTAGTAAACACTAGAGAATTGGAATTAATGAAGTAAATTAATATATATTAACATATCAACATCAAAACATGTTAGAAATGGAGAAATCTTGGTTAACATCAGAACTGTGTTATTTATAACATTAAAAGCGGTGCATGTACTAAATAATGTTGGAACCAGTAGGATCTGAACAGAAAAAGGAAAAATCTTAACTGTAGAGCGTTAAAATTTGAGCATTCATGGAGAACCAGGAGGAATTCCAGGAATGAAGCTTGACATAGAAATATGTCAGAGTTAGGAGGTTGTAAGGACACAGGAGGCAGAATAGCTAAATTTTTCCCATTTCCTCTTCTCCCCTCTCTCCCTCCCCAACCCTCCCTATCCATACATTCCTGGTTCTCAGCTTACCACCTTTCTTCCCACCCTTCTGTCATTCTCACCACTATCCCCCTCTCATCACAGTTCTTCCCTCCCATTGTCCCATCTAATTTTCACTCCCTATGATGTAGACTCCCCACTTACATTTTCCTGAATCTCCTTTGCTGTTGAAGAGAGACCTGCAAGGCTGGGGAGTCTCTCCTCTCTCCCAGATCCTGGACTAGGCACAAACAACATCCAAGCACTTGTTTTCACTGAGTGATCCTTTATTAAGTGGTGAAGAAGTAGTGACTTTCTGACTCTGGCAGAAAAACAGAAGAGAATGACCTCATTGGTGTAATTTTTAAGAGAGAAAGTGGGGAGGTCTGTGTTAGAATGGGTTATGATGCAGTGGTGTATTTTTACTGCCCATATTAATTAGCTGAACCTAAAGGGGCTTTCAATTTCTAAACTTCGGTAGTCATTCTCAAGAATCAGTCTGGCATTAGAAAATGTCCAACTAAGCTATTACATCTTGGTGACTAGCTTTAGGGATATAATCTATGGTATTCAACAGAGAGGGAAGGGGGAAGGGGGAAGACTGACAGAGCCATGTTACCAGGCCCAGAACTGTGAGGGCCCTTCACCTCTTCTCATCCTCAGTCTCTTCTTCTGTCCCAAACTAGCTCTTTCTCTGTTCTTTTCTTCCCTTCATCCCTTCCTTTCTCTCTCCCTGTCTCCCTTACTTCATGTCTTCCTATCTCTTTCTCTCTCTCGTTTTTTCTTCTCCTCATCTTCCATCCTCTATTATATGGCAAGTTCATGGTTGCCTTCTACTACATAGCAACGTAAACTCAAAAAAAAATAAATTGGGAGAGAGCAATGGCTCAGAGGATAAGAGTATAGCCTGGACAGATGTTCTTCTGGAGAGGGCAGCTCAGAGATGCTAATTTTTTCACTGCTTCTGGTCATCCTTGTCAGTAGACACGGGACCTCACACAGTTAAATAGTACATTGAGGCACAGGGGGAAGTGTGTTTGAAGGAAAAGACAGTTGCTATTCCTAGGAATTCTCCAGCAACATGGAGAAGGTTGAGCCAATGACAGGAGGTGCACGGGCCGGGCACCACCCTCACTGGCTCAAGACTCTCTCAAAACTTACTTAGATGCTCATGACGACATGAATTATGGGTTGTAAGCAGTGTGTTTTACTCATCTTTTATATTTATGAAGTGTGTGTATGTACATGTCATGAAGCATGTGGAGATGAGAGGGTTTGGGGAGCTGGGTTCCTCTTTCACCTTGTTTCAGAGGCACAGATTCCCTTGTATCTATGCCTGATCTGCATATGGGACCAGATGCTCCCTCACTGCCATTACAGACTGGTACCCCACAATACAGCTTTTAATATGGGCTCTGGGATTGAACTCAGCTCATCATTTTAAATGCTATTTATTTCAGTTCCTTTCAAAACGCCAGTTCATATTTCACTATAGGAATCTTGTTACACTGCACAGTTGTCCACTGAATATGTTCTCCCTGTGGTTGAGTGAAGAGTAAAGTTTAAGCTTTGGTCTTTTCTTCCACCAGATCCCTTTGGAAAGACAGATGAGCGTGAACCACTCACAAATGCCGTCCGAACTGACTCAGCAGTCATTGGAGGTAACCTGTCTTCATCAATAATAACAGAAAAGATATCTCTGGTTCTGTGGTCTGCAGAAAATTATCTGAAGCCTTCCTTACCAATGATCATTTTGCACCCAGATTCGGGCATTGTCTTCCAGCCCTTAGCCTTTTCTTTCATGGTTCGAGATTACTAGCAGGCTCTCCTCCAGGGCCAGCAGCTCTGTGGCTTCATTCTGCCTCAAATTCAGCAGGCAGCTGAACTCTGAGCCAACAACTGGGGCATTTACTCACAGATAGGCAGCCTGCATCTTGTCCATTGCATCCCATTGTCACTTCTAAAGCACAAACAAAATAAATCAATAAAATTACATATGGAAAGAAGTCACATTGGGACAGACAGATGAACAGAGCAGTCGTTGTTTTCAGTTTGTCTTTACAGAGTGATTTGGGTTGAATCTAATGAGCAGGGTGAAGCCCATATGACTGAAGTTCCAAATCCTCCAGTCCATTTTGCTATGGATGTAGAGTCTGCTTGCTCTGCTTATAGCTTCTCCCACCACCTTCCCTTGCTTTACAGTTTTTGAGTTGTGTGTTGGCCATACCCTACCATACTCTGTATTCTACCTCAGCCCCTCTAATGCCTACAGGAGTTTGATGTTCCCATCTGGATCTTGCAACACAAAATGTCTCCCAAGTTTTGCTTAATGTAAGATGCCTGAGATATGGAAATTCATTTCCATTGGTGACTTATAACCATAGCAGGTGCCTCAACCCTGCCTTCTAGCAGCTGGGATGAATGAGTCCACACCAGATGGAGTTCTTTAAAAGTCTGGGGGAGTCATTCATTTCACTTCTATTTAATTAGCTCCAGTTCTGGGTCAGACCTGTGCTAAACATAGAGATGCAGGATGGGAGATAAAGTTATTGCCTTCCTAGAATGAGCAGACTGACTAGGAAAGAAATAGGCGAGCAGACAGCAGTAACAGTATAGAAGCTGGTTCCAAAGATGAATGTAACCAGAAGAACTCCTCCAGAGTAGCGTCCCAGAGCAGGAGGAAAATTAAGGACTTCCTTAGGGAAGTACGTAAAATGTGAGCTGAATGCCTTCTCCAGGGAAGAGAATTGAACTTGATTTTTCTTTGAAATCAGTAAATGTCACGGAAAATTTTATAACTCTCTCTATTCTTGTAAGTTTTCATTTGATGAGGAAAGACTGTGGGTTCTGATCTTCCCCCACTCATTGGCAAGCCCCATTGCGTCTCTATGAATGGGAAGATTATCACAGCCCCACAGGAGATCCTGGGAAGCTTGCCCAGCTTCCAGCCTGCAATAATCCCTTCAACCCAGGAGTAAAGGGGCAACCTCAGCCACATTATAAAACTGTAGCTCATGCTTCAGATTCGTTCATTGCCATCCAGATTAAATTATCAACTTTAGTATTTTATTTTGCCTTTTTTTAAAAAATAGCTGTAAAACGTGTTACCCAATGAGTTTAGAATATATGACAAATGTAAATGATCTTAGTTATGGTCACAGCATTTGAAAATTTGGTGGAAGATGGGTCTATATATTTAACTTTTTGGTATCTAGTCAGATAAACAGTAATGAATGATGACCAACAAATATTTAGAAAATATGAAATGTGCAAATGTGTATAATTTGTTAGAAATTAAAATATTTTTGATGACCAAAACTTAAGTATTTTGCTTCTATTAATTATTAATTTCACATGCATGCTGTTTGTTGCTTTTGAAATAAGGGCCCACTATGTAACCTGGGATTGAGAAATGTCAGAGACAGCAAGAGAAATCTTATATCAAAAGAAAGTGGAAGGCAAGACCAGACTCTCAAGTTGCTCTTTGACACCCGCACTAGTGCTATGGCAGTCAAGCACCTGCACACACTCACACAGACACACAGACACACAGGCACACAGGCACACAGACACACAGACACACAGATGCATACTCTCACACCCTCACATTCACACAGAGGGAGAGGGGTGGTGGTAGTTAGTCCAAGTAATTCTTGGCAAGGCTTGGTGTACTTAAAGTCTGTAAATTCAGGGTTTGAGCCCTAGTAACAAAAAATAAAACAACACAGAAACAACACAAATCCTTTGCTGTTCCAACTCCATGTTTATTATTAGGTCATAAACACAACCTTCTAGGAGAAACAGCCTTTCTCACTCATTACTCTCCTCGTAGAAACGTTTGTTGAAACGGAAGGTCAAAGGATTCTGAGCAGGTCTTTATCTCTGGGTAAAGGGTAGATTTTTGTTTGTGTATTTGATTTGTTTATGCTTTTTTTCCCTCCAGTGTACGTGCTTGTCTAGACTGGACTTCCTCAGTGACACCTTTTTTCTCTTTCCCGCTCTTTTCTTCGCAGGTGTCATAGCAGTGGTGACATTTATCACCTTTTGTGTCATCGGCATCATGACCCGCTTTCTATATCAGCATAAGCAGTCACACCGTACCAATCAGATGAAGGAGAAGGAATACCCAGAGACCTTGGACAATTCCTTTAGAAATGACATTGACTTGCAAAACACAGCCAGCGAGTGCAAACGGGAATACTTCATATGAGATGACACAGGGTCACCTACTCCTCTTTTTTTCCATAGGGTTTTCCCTCTCCTTTTCTCTTCTCTTTCCAATTTTTTAATTTAAGTATTTTCTTTCTCTCTTTCAACATTAATATTCTGGAACACACCTGCATCCACCAAAAGCATTGATCTCCTTCCTCCAGTTCAGGAGGTCAGGTAGCTGTGGCTACTGTAGCTCACTGACATGTGCATCATCGTGAAAGTGACCACTGGAGACACAGACTTCACTATTGTAAACAAGAGACACGTATGCACATATGTACATTTGATGTTGTAGTTGAGTTTTTAAATGTCAGTTTCTCGGGCACTTGGTCTTGTTATCTTCCGTTAGACGAGCTCCGTGGTTTTGGCCTTTCACAATCATCCCTGGCACCCTGCCCCATACCATACTGTTAGGTATCATGGTTTGAAAGAAGAGAAGGGTGTGTGTGTGTGTCTGTGTGTGTGTGTGTCTGTGTACGACATAGAAAGACAGAATCCGATCACCGTTTAAGTAAAAAGTTTATTAGGGATGCCGGTAGAGCAGGAGAGTACAAGGAAAGTAATCAAACCAGAAAAAGCAATGTTTGTTTTTTCAGGTTCCTTAAGTGTGGTCAGAAGTTTGGGAGATATGTATGCCACACAGAAATTCCTCTAAAGCAGACATCATCTGGCCAGGCTTAAAGACTTTTTAAAATTCTTTTATTTCATTTCCTGTGTTTTGTTTTGTTGAAGCAGGTAAAGTATCCAGGACATTCTTTCCCAAGACACTGATTAAAGAGCAATGAGCGAAGTGAGTGTGAGATCCTTGACAAGGCAGCAGTCATGTGTGCTGCCTGTAACCTTCTCCAGTTTAGACTTACATATCTGAAAGAATCTGATTCTATGGGGGCATGGTTCCCTTGAGAGCTGAGGGGAGAGAGGCTACAGGTCTGCCTGAGGTGGAAGACTTTCACAGCACCCTTGAGAACAGACACTGTACTTGGAGGACCTAGGTTATGAGAACACCCATGGGGTGGCCCGGAGCAGAAGGAGACCCTTCTGGACTATTTGTTTTGATGACATTTTACCAGCAAACAGACACATCTGTGTTAGTTTAGTGTAGGCATCATGAGCATCCCCCAGCACTGTTCAGCTTCCTTCCCATAGAACCTCAGTTCTTCCCAATAGAGAATGGCGGAGTAGTGAGTTATGTTGGGCCTCCCTTGCTGCTCTGTTTTGAGGCATGGATGCAGTAGCCTGAAACCAGGGGGTTTCATGAAAGTTGTGAGGAAATAGTTGCTTCTGAAATGTAACAACTGCCTTCTCCACTTTACCAGAAATTGTTAGATAGGTTATTCCTAAAATTGTTATATTGAAGAATAATAATACGTGTATATTGTGGAAGCCTAAACAGAATTCAACTAAAAATCAAAAATGGTTCCATGAAAAATGTTTAGGCCCTCTTAACTCAGGTTGGAGGAAAACTTTTTAAAAAATCCAGAAAAGAAGTGCAGAAAAATGAGAAATATTGAGCAGCCTTCTCCACATCCACCTACACCCAGAAAGAGCCAGTAAAGGAAGCAGGTGCAGAGAAACAGGGTTCACCATCTAGAACACATGTTATGATTTCACTGACATCTGAGTTGGTTCCTAGGAGGCAAGGGTCTGGCTATCATGTGAGACAGTGTGGAACCCGCGAGATGAGGGGTTTGGGGGAAACCCTTCGCCTATGAAGCATATCTCATTTCCAAATTGTACCCATGTACATAAAAGTGCCCATGCACTTGCCTTGCTTGCCTAAATAAGGTAGTAATGTTCCTTGGGCTTCAGGTTCTTTTGGTAGCAAAACACATAATTAATTCAAAAGTCATCTTGACTTTGTCCATGGTGAGTAATCCTTATCATTTTTTAACTCTGCTCTTGTACCACCTTGGAATAAAAACACGGAAACAACAATCACCCAAATACTTTAGGACTTAGGAAATGCTAGAAGCAAGATCCTTGATGCATAAGGTACTGACCAATTCTCTTTGAAGGGTAGACCTGATTTGTAAAGCAGGTGCCTTGATAGTCAGTAGGTCATCCATTTTCTTAGTGAGTGTCCTACCTCTAACTCTTCAGCACTATCGTGAACTGGAGGTTCGCAGTGAAGCCATCACTGGCTTCATGCAGGTTTCTATCTATAGCTTTCCTCACTTGCAGAACTACAGACATAAGGATTGGGTGTGGCATCACAGTCCACACCTCTGAGATATCGTCCTAAAAACATGTTCTTTCCTTAAAATTTTCTATGAATTCTTATACACCCTATTCCTCTTTTAGAATATCGTTATCATTTTGCTACTAAATTTATTTTAAAGCAATTTTAACAAAGATGCCCTTTTTAATTTTCTATCTTTACTATGACAAATGATCATCTAATAAAATGAAAGATATTGAAAGTCTCTTTCCCTATGCCCTTCATTCCCTGTTTTACAATTTCTACTTTTGAATTTTCTATCTCTATAAAAGGTTGCATAAGTCACCCTTTTGCTTCGCTGCATATTCCTCTGCCACCAGAAATAACAGTCATGCTGAAATTTATCCCTAAGCACATTTAGTAGTGAAACAACAGGTAAGGGAGAGTAGTCACACTGGAACACTTTCTTACTGGAGTCCTCAGAACCAAGCACCATGTTTTACTGGCATGATATGACTGGATAGATGTGGAAGTACAAGCCAAATCAATTTGTATGGTTCCCTCACACACAAGTATGTCTTCAGAGATAATCCTGTAGGGAAATTATGAAGTCAGTCTCTGCCCCCTGCATAGCACACTCTTTACTGACTTCACCCCTGTATGTGCAGGCTGTTCATACCAGGACCCTGGGCATGAAGATCAAATGGTAGATGCACACCAAGATGGTATACATAAGTTTCTCAGGGCTAAAGCAGGGTTTAGCCCCACAACACACACCAGGTGAAAAATCTACCAATTTGTTTCTCCTAAACTGAATGCACATCACAGCCAGAAGCAAGAACATAATTCAGGAGTGGGAGTAAGGTCTATTTGGTTTGTACAATTAATCAATTGTGTTTTCCATCTTCAAACAATTACAGCCTAAAACAAGAGTCAGTGTGTTTTAATCCTCCTTTAGCCACCACTTCTCCCTATGGTATAAAGGTTTCATGATGTCCCTGTTATATAATGCTCAGTCATTGATGCCTGCTATTTACAAAAGAACTTGTGAAATATGGTCCCTTTACAGTAGACCAAAAATCGATGTAATATTCCATCCCAAGGGATATTACTGATATTATCCCATGAACTGTATGTTTATTTCTCCTAAAGAACTTTTAGCAACAGCTGTGTCATTCAGTCCATGCATAGGGTAGATTACGTGGTTTTTCAAGAATTAGGCTAGGAAAATAGGTATTTGTCATTTTCTGTATTTCTATTCATTATTAGATCAGCTTGTGTTCATCTGAAGAACCCTGGAGCTGATATTTTACTTTATTCACTATAGTAATAAGACGTGGCATCATCTTAATATCAACCTTTGACAGAATCATGACTACCACATCAAAGCAGAAGCAAGACTACTACTAAATGAGTATGCAGTTGTTTTTCCTGTACTCAGTGATAAGACATATGTGAAATGTCCATGACTCCTCATGTTCTGTTGAATATGCAAACAAAGCAGCAGATCTTACAGCAATGGAGATGTGCACACAACACCAGGTAGCAGAGAACAAGTACTTGACACAGTTCACGTGCAAACCAAGTTCTAGAAGGTTCTAAAAGTGAACGTATTTGTGGATAATTCTTTTAATTTTGTGTCATATTTATTAATTCTACCAGAAATGATTGCTTTGTTTATCTTCCTTAAGGTATTGGGTCACATAGATAAATTTCTGTAGAAGTTGGTAAATGGAATCTTTGGACAGAGAAAGAAAAAATGGCCCTTGTATATTTTGCTTAAACAGTTTTTATTACATAGCCCTGGCAGATCTAGGACTCTCCATTGTAAACCAGGCTGTCCTCAAACTCACAGAGAATCACTTAACTCTGCCAAGGTGTGGACTTCCATTTCTGACTATATCGGATATATTCGAAAGGTGCCAAATTTTTTATGTTCTCTTGTTAGTTCCAGTTAAAGCTTTCCAAGTGTGTGCTGTGTGTATATGGCAGACCCATGTAAAGACTGGAGACATAAAATAGAAGTCTTTAATTCCACCCCCTTCTGATTTCACATATTTGGTGGACATTCATTGATGACCATGGCTCTTCTAGATCCCCCTTAACTGGTTGGTATTCTGGCTTTTTTAATTCTCCCCATTCTGCCCTAAAGAATCATTTGACTATATTAAGGTAAACCTCTGAGAACTAGAAGTTACGTACTGAGCGAATAATTTATTGATGTGTTATCCACCTAAACAAGGTCATACTTCTCTATCTACATTTTTCCAACCTTGAAGGTCATGCATGTAACCTCTTCATATAATGTCACCTCAATTAGAAGAAACACATTAGCAAGTTGCATTCATAGTATCCCCATAGAATCCATGGACTGGGGCACCAAGCCTGTGGAAATCTTGCTTGTTTTGTCTACCAACTGCTTCAGTTCTCTTGAATTTCCTAGAGCTATAATCCATCAAGTTTTTGGCAACAGCAGTCTGGCAAGAGGCTCTTGAGGAACCTATACAATCCTGCCACTCATTACTTCCTGAAGCCATTGTTTGGGGTTGCTTTGTCCTCAACTGACCCACAGGTCAAATTTCAACTAAATAAATAAACAAACACTCGCACTGTATCTGAAACTCTTCTGTACCAGGTTTGGGGACCTTCTTTAGGGTTTGCTCACAGTCATCCTCAAAGCGTTTGTTCTGAAAATGTTAGTTGTTCTTTATTCTCAGCTCTTGCTTACTAATTCTAAATAGGCGATTAACCTAAAAAGGGAGGAAATGCAACACTGGCGGCACATGCAGGCACATGTGTACCCCCCCCACACACAAGTCATAAGGAATAGGGCTGTTCCTCAAACGTTATCCCGGAAAGTATATCCATACCTACTTTGTAACCAGAGATTTATCACCATTTTATCTTGGAAACTGTTTAAATGCCTCATAGAAGGTTCTAGTGATTGTTTTGTTATTTTTGAGTGATTTCCACCATCTTATTATGTATTAAAGTATTCTGAGGAAGAATAAGAAGCACATGATGTAGTGAGACAGTGTACTTTGTAAGCTGTGTGTGGTGTGTAAGGTTTATTGTCCATAAAGTGGTTAAGGGGACACAAGAGGCTCAAGGAACAGTGGGTTTTTGTGTTAAAGCAGACTTGATGGGAGCTTGTCAATGAGGAAAAGGGAATTCAAGGAGCAAGCAATGGCTGCTGGTGGTTAAAAGGGTCAAAGCTTCCACCATGAAGTAAGGGTGACTTCTCTCCGCACTCTCTTGGCTCCTAACTCAGGAGTTTCATGAATTTGTCTCAACACTTAGAGAAGAGGCAGTATGACATCTGCTGCATGAGAAATGGTTTCCTCATCGTTACATGGCATTTTTACCCTATCCCAGGGAATTTTAAGTTTTATGTTTCACAAATATAGTCCTGGGATGCTTTCGAATTATCACCACAGTGATTTCATCTGGCCAGGGTGAGCACCCAGGTGGCCACTTTAAGTAAAATAAAGTATTGTCGAGATCCTCAGGTCCACTGCCAATAGTCAGATACTCCATGGATAGAAATCCTGAAATATTGGAGTCAGTGCAGCGATCTTTCTTTCCCTTTCCTTGGTCATGCCATCTATAGACATGCCGTAATGAAGGAAAGGTACAGAGCTCTTCATCACCTACAGTGTGTACTTCAGAAAGCCACCACCTGACACGTCGTGAACACGTTTCCCTTTCTGCCATTCAGCACATAAGTGAAGCTTGCTTCAAGTAGCAGGTTAAAATTAGAAGGCTAGTCCCAAGTTATAAAAAAGTTCATATGTGCCAGTAATTAAAGCCTGCTCATTAGCATTATACTACGCCATGCTTCAGATCCCAGCAATAAATCTCAGAGGAAATGAGAAAGGCACTGGCTGTGCAGAACAGGCTTTCTGTCACCCTGAAGCCTCCTTGAATTGCCTCCCCAGGGGGAGCCATTTTCATTGTAACCTTACAGGATAATATGACTGGACCTCTGACTAGTTCTACTTTCACATTATAGTCAGCCATACCACAAAGAACATACATGAAGTAGGTTAATCTCTTCTCTTTGAATGGCAGTAGAAAACAGTGTAGCCTTGTCCTGCCTTAAATACTCTTGCAAAAAAAATTAGTAACTAAACCTTGCTTAAAGTATTGTATTTATACCATGAGAAGAGCTTCATATTTGGTGAGGATCAATGTCAAAAACGTTCTCTTGAACTTGTCAATAGACAGGCTTCCCAATAGCCTATGTTGTCTTAGACAGACACTTCCCACAGCCCACTAGCCTATGGCAGAAAGATAGAACATAGGGAAATGAAGACACGTGACACATTCTAATTATATCTTATAAAATAGACAATGGTTCACAAAATTCCTAAATCCCTAAGAAAATTTCCATGTTCATTTCAACCTAGAAATTAAAGTTTTTTCTGGCACCTTCTTTGAAAAAATGAGAGGCCAGGGAGATTGCTTTTAACAAATAATGAACAGAGAATAAAATGATCTCTCCCAGTCATATATATGTGTGTATATATATATATGTATGTATGTATGTATGTATATATATACATATGTATGAATGATATATACAGGCTTTCTTTGACAAAAGCACAACAGAGGCAAAGCAGACCCTATCCTCGGGGATTAGCTGGAGACTCCTTGTTTCTGTGGATGTTATAGATTTTAGTCCTGGAGAAGAATCACCAGTCCCATGTGATGTTTCCTCATCCTACATCTGTTTTGTATGCCATGTAACATGTCTTAATACACCATATGGAAAAATTTAAAGTTAGCCTTAGATGTCTCTGTTTTCTATGTTTTTTGCTGTACAGAAGACTTACCTGTAAATATTGTATATTTAATAAAGAAAGAATTTTGTATCATTTTGTGTGGAACATAAATATGTCTTTCTGTGTTGTTCTTGGGTTAATGAGGAGTCAAGTAATTAATCCCTGAGAGCCCACTCTGAATTCTCAGATCATTAACTTCTAGCCAACATGACCCATGAAAAACACAAATCTCCTTTTCTCCAGGTTTATTGATTTAAGTGGAGCTCAAAGTACTGCCTTGGGGTTTTTTTTTTTTTATGCTTAACTGACTCATACCAAACTGCACTTCAGGCACAAAAGTGCACATGAACAAGCTCACTGATTTGGTAAAAAGCATTCTTGAACTATCCTGAATTCAACATCTCCCAGAAAACCTTTGGCCCCATTGACCCCTTCACAGTGTCCCTCACAGAACCTGTACCTTGTGTCTTACACTGCCTGCACTTCCTTGTTCTGGAGTACTGTCACTGTGTTCCTTACACAATAGCTCTATGTTTGAATAAGCAGATGTACATTCCTGTGGAGTAGATTTGATTTTGTATAGTGTTTATTTTTACTTGTATTTAGGAGTCATTAAGTGGACATAGACTTATCAATAAAATCAAAAAGTGATTTAATAGGTTGGAGATGTAGCTCAGTTGATAAATGACTTCATAATATGCACTAACAACCTAGGTTTGATCCTCAGCTTCGAAGAAAGCAGTCATTTTGGTACACAGCTATTACCTCAATATTCCTCAGGAAGTGAAGACAACAGGACCAAAAGTCCAAGGTCATCTTTGGCTACATAGAGATCTGGAGGCAATTCTGAGAAACTGTCTACCAAGGAATTAAGTATGTCAGACAGAACATAACAAAAATTTTAAACTGCTCATTCCAGAGAAATAAGAAAGAATGAGGGCAAAGAAGGTGCTAAGACTTAAAAACAGCAGAAGTGAAGGAGATTCCCTGTGTATCTGAGACTGGAAGGAATCAATGAGGTTTGCTAATGGAAAGGCAGGGGAATGTAAAAGAGAAAAGAATCCAAAGAATGAATATTTCATTTTCACAACAAATGGATTGTGCAAAGGTTTTTGTTGTATTTATATTGGGTAGAAAAATGGAGGCTATTATTGGAGGAAAATTCGCTACAGGAGACTCCTTTAAAAATATTCTTAGGTTCCTTATTAGAGACACTTAGCAAAGAAACTTGGAAAGAAAAAGATTGGAAGTCAGCTGAGGACGACATGATTCATGGATCAAGGTTCACAGTCACAGACCGCAAGAGGTGCATGAGTATAGGAGACAGACAAACCCATCCTTTATATGCAATCCCTTAATAGCCCAACACCTAGTTTTGTGACTCAGAATTAGGAACGGAAATACCCAGTTTTCCTAATGAAAATTGGAAAACAAAATCTAATCTTCACAGATCCTGAATTCTGAATTAAATAATTCCTGTAGATCAACTAGCTAAGTATATACTCACTGAGGTCCTCCAAAAGGCTACTTGAAAATTACTTTGTGTGTGTGTGTGTGTGTGAGAGAGAGAGAGAGAGAGAGAGAGAGACAGAGACCGAGACAGAGACAGAGAGAGACAGAGATGGACAGAGAGAGAAGGAGGGAGGAAGAGAAAGAAACTATACCACATAGGCAAGTGAAAGTCTTTATCTCTCAATCAATCTTGACATTATTTTGTTGACATGCTTTCTTTCACTTTACCTGATTCACCAATTGGACTAGATTGATGGGCCAGTGATCCCCAGACATTTGCCTGTCTCTGTAACTGTCATTCCAGGATGGGATCAGGTAGGCCCTGCTGACTAACTTCCTTATATGGGTGCTTGGGATAGGAGTCAGCTTCTTATAGCTGTGTTGGAAGATCTTCCCAACCAATAATGTCCCCTGTTATTTTATAATTCTTAGAAAACAAGTTATGTACACCACTGAGATGCGAACTCCGGGATGCATGCGGAATCCCTGCTCAGTGGCTGTTTGTGAGGGAGTGATGCTGGAAGCTGCATCTGCACTCTGATTCTCACTGTCGTAGTTTAACCTAGACATGAATAAATATCATTTGCATATCACCTGTAGAAATTCAGTTAGATAGTCTGCTTGAAAGATGGCATGATACTAAATAACAAGAAAAAGAATGATCTTAAATATGTGCAGTAGCTTTCAATATTAGTTAACTTACCACACAGGCTTCGAGCAAGGCAGTTGTGTCTTCAGATGCCAAGTCTTGCAAGCAGCTGAAAGGCAGTAAACAAATGTATCACTTCTTACCATGAGGTTCATTATTTCAGCACACAAAGGATTTTGAAACAATTTTTATTCGCTCAAAGTCAAATTTTCTTCCTATATTTTGGATGTGTAAAATTATTACTGAAAGAATGACATAGGTTTCTGGACGATTGTGTGACATGGCGTCCACTTTTGCATGTTTGTCTGCATTTGCTTGAAGATATTAGAATGAAGAATAACCCCCACTCTTTCTCTTTATATCTCTCTCTCTCTCTGCCTCTCTCTCTCTCTCTCTCTCTCTCTCTCTCTCTCTCTCTCTCTCAGTGTGTGTGTGTGTGTGTGTGTGTGTGTGTGTGTGTGTGTGCTCACAGGTATGCAGATGTGTGTGTGTAAATGAATGAGGAATAGAAAACAATGTTAGGTGATGATGACATTCTCCATGGTTCCTGAATCATGGATCTTCATATCTTGGAGAGAGTGTCTTCTCTGGCCTGGAGCTTACCTTGTTGACTGTGCAGAAGTCCCCGGACTCTTGAAAACTTCCTGAAAGAATATCTTTAATGGGAACAGACAGAATAGGGGATGGAAGTTTTCAACTTCAAATCATAAGGTGCTATAATGAATTCCTTCAATCTCACCAGCTGACTGGCTTCTTTTTCCCTGTCTTATGAGCCACAAAGCTTTGTTGATGTTGTTGTTTGTGCCTTTTTGTTTTGTTCAGTGTTCTGTTTATTGGCAGTATACAAGGAAGGTACCAGGATGACCAGGCTCTTATCAAACTCCCAAAAAGAGCTCTTGCCCAGCATGCATGGCAGGAAGGCCTTAGATCTCCAACACATTTTAAAAATAAATGTTGTGGTGCATTCATGTAGTTCCAGTTTTCAGGTGGTAGAGGTAGTAGGTTCAGAAGTTGAAGGTTATCCTTGGCTATATATCAAGTACAAAGCCAGCCTTTGCTATATGAGATCCTACTTCAAAGATAAAGTAAAATAAAATAAAGAAAAAATAAAGTTGTGTTCATATTTCACCTTTACATGGTGGAAAGAGAAGTTTCCTCTTTTGTAACTGTGTGAATTTCATTCGTGTAGACAGTAGCTTACCATCTAATCACCTTCTAAGAACTGCCTTCTAAATGGAATTTTCTTGGATCTCTTTTTAGTGCAAGTTTTTGTGCAGGACACTAACATTAAGTTTCATACCAACCAAATATTAAGTTGTTTTTCATGGTTGCTCATGAAAGGAATTTTCCTGGTCCAAACCTTGATCTCATAATCACAATGATTGCTTCTCTAAGACAAAGACAAGGTGGCAGAGCTCCCAGATATACAGAAGCCATGACTCAGCTCACTGACACCCGAATGTCAGGCTGCTGCAGAGAGCCAGATCTCTCTTTGAGTGCAGCATCTACCACAGGGGAGGAAATATGAGCACTCATGACAGCGCTGACAAGTCAGAAAGGTAAATTTGTCTCAGCCATGGTCTCCCAAGAACTTTGGCTGGTCAAAAGGGCCTTTGAGAACTCAAGTCTGTCTCAGGGTCTATCTGTCTTCCACAAGAGGAAAGTGGAAACGGCTTTGGCAGAAAGTGGACAAGCATCACTTTTCATAAGTAAACAGAGTGTCTTTCTTTGCTCACCCTCTAGGTTAGCAAATGTAACACCTGTGCTTGTCTTCCAGGTCTCATGTTTGTAATCTAAACTCCTTTTTAAGGCTGACTGGTTTACTTGTATGACATAGTAAGAGTAGTCAAAGTCAGGGAGACAAACGGTACAAGGACAATTGCTTGAGGGTGCATGGAAAGGAGAAAGAAGAATTATTATCTATTTGATGGACACAGATGTTCAGTTTAGGGAGAGGAAAAAACATTATGGAAGCAGGAGATTGCAGTAGAACAATGCTCTACATCTCTGAACTGAACACTAAAAATAATGAACATGTTACAAGGAAGCCACTGCTGAGGGAGCAGGCCTGAGCCAGAGACCTCTGTGGAACTGGGCATAGGTCAGGTATCTCCAAAGAAGCAGGTCCCGAGCCAGGGACATCTGTGGGAACAGGCCTGAGCCAGCTACCTCTGACAGAGAAGGTCTAAGTCAGCTACCTCAGCTGGAACAGGTCTGAGGCAGTGACCTCCACAGGAGCAGGCTTGAGTCTGTGACCTCCACTGGAGCAGGCCTGAGGCAATGATATTCACTGAACTGAACACTTAAAAAAATGAACATGGTACAAGGGAGCTACCACTGGTGGAATATGCCTGAACCAGAGATCTCTGTAGAACTAGACACGAGTTAGGGACCTCCAAGGGAACAGGCCTAAGCCAAAGACCTCTGTGGGAACAGGCCTGAGACAGCTACCTCTATTGACAGAGGTTTCTGTCCCACCTGGTCGCACTGCTGTAAAGTCCCACAAACACACACACACACACACACACACACACACACACACACACACACGCCTACATTAATTATAAACTGGTTGCCTATTAGCTCAGACTTCTTATTAGCTCTTGTATCTTACATTAACCCATAATTCTTATCTGAGTTAGCCACCTGGCTTGGTACTGTATATCAATGAAGCATTCTCATCTTGCTTCCTCTGTGTCTAGATAATGCCTGGAAACTGAGCCTTTCCTCTTCCTAGAATTCTCCTGTTCTGATTGCGCTGCCTATATTTCCTGCCTGGCTACTAGCCAATCAGCAATTTATTAAACTAGTACAAGTGACAAATGTTTACAGGGTACAAGAACATTGTACCATAGCAGACCTCCAAAGGAGCAGGTACAAGGGAGTGACTGCCAAGGGAATGGCTGGAGCCAGATATCTCTGTGGGGCCAGCATGAATCAGTGACCTCTCTGCTGTAACAGGCCTGAGTCAGAAATCTCTGCTGAAGCAGGCCCAAAGCAGCAACCTAAGCAGAAGCTGC